TTCTGGACTTTGAAAAGGGTCTTTCTGGCATTTTAGTTTCTTCCCAGGATATTAAAGCGATTTCTGAATATGTTTACATTTTCCTCTGCAGAGTCAAGCACCATTTCCAGATGATGCCAACTTTTCTCCTCTTTTCGACACCGTTGTCCCCGATGAGCTCCTATTTTCTCACTCTCATGATGCTATTTGATTTTCCCCACGTCAAGGAGCGTACCGAACCCTTACCATCACGATCCCATCTCACTGCATCAAACTATACCACACCAGATCAACATACTACTATTTAAGCAATTTTCATTCTTCTAATTGGAACCAATTCCACTGGCATCAAATTGGCTAAGATTTTGCCCGAAAAGTTTGTCCTTAACAGGGATCCATATAGCCTTGGCCGGGGATTGGCATCTTCAAGTAGCAACTGGATACTCGCGACTTTCTGCACGTGTGTGTGCGCGCAGGGAACTGATTCAAGGTTCCTTTAATCAGCAAGCCGAAACAGCTGCACAGTGTGTCCCAAAAAATATATACATATTTTACCTAGTTATAAAATTGGTGTTTATCACAATTTATTTTTAAATAAATGTAAATATATGTACATGTTTCAGTTCATTGTTTTTTTTTCACTGAATGTTCTCAAACTGACGTCCATTTGATAGTGACTCTGCTGACAACGCGAAGCAGTGGAATCACACATGCCATCAAACAATTTCCTTGATATTCAGGTGCATTCATCTTCAGTGGCGTCTCTCAATTCAGCCACTATCGCAATAGTCAGAGTGCGGTAACAAAAAAAGAGAACCGAATTGTTGGCTATCCGCCGCAAAGCTGGATATGGGTATTCGGTCAAGCGAGTCTACACAGCTACCTGTCGAGGTCGTGGGCATAAGCAATGGCGGGAGGGTTATGCAAATAGCACGAAATCATTACTCATAAAATATGTAATCCACTGCGGAACAGCCTGTGAGTTGTAGCTGGGATTAAAAGGTTATATACCGACCCCAAGTTTATTTCAGAGTGCCACATGTTTTCATACTTAAATACGCATTGTAAGGATTATCTGATCCTTGTTGCAGCTTTAAAATATAGGTGGTTGATAAATTGATGAAAACATAGGCCCTTTGCAGGTCCCAAAGTGTCTTATCACATAGTAAGGCAACCAGCTAACTGAAAATTGTCCGCAATCATAAAAGAATGGCTTTTGCTTTTCAAGGAAGCAGTGTATGAGCACGAGGAAGAATCGCCTAGGAGTCGGCATTAATGACTGATGGTGGAAATGAAATGTTGGTATAAACTCACTCTCTGAGAAAGGTTTACTACGTCGCACAACGAAGATCACGTTTATATTGCTAATTTATTCTCGAGACAGACCTAAAAGGCAACGGATTTTGCAGAATTTACTTTTGACCTTGGTTTGTTTTAGTCTATCCACAGCCTTTTGCTCCATGGTGCAGTCAGTTGTGTGCAAGCTATCCAGTGTCAGGCGCTGTTTCAGATGTTTTGGAAGAGGTGGTTTGGTGCCGCTGACGAAAAGGATGCTAAAACCAATTTGGTTCTCCTCGGACCACCTGGCTGCGGCAAAGGAACACAAGTTAGCCTTTGAATCAATTATTATTTTCGTAAGGCTCCTAGGCTTGTAAAAAAATATGAAATCTGTCATCTCGCAACTGGCGATATGTTGCGTGGAATTATTAGCTCTGGCTCCGAACTGGGGAATAAAGTCAAAAAAATAATAGATGCTGGTCAGCTCGTGTCTGACGATATAGTTTGTGAACTAATTGATATGAATCTTGACAATCCGGAGTGTAAAAAAGGTTTCGTCCTAGATGGCTTTCCGCGAACCAC